CCCCAGAAAAAAAAAAATAAGTTTAGAACCCCATTTATACATGTTGGGGGCGTATAGGGCCGAAACTACCAGGTCTTAACCGAAATAGGAAAAATTTCATGCTTTCGTATTTTGAGTCGCGCCTTACGCAAAGCTAGGCGCGTAACTCTGTGTAGAGCTGCCTTTTGTATTTGAATTGTTCTTGGCTCAAACGTGGACACCAAAAAACCATACTCCTCTAAATTCTTCTATTTTAGATTCAATTTATGTACAATCCTTCCATATCTCACATCCGATTGACCCCTCCACATAAAATATATTAAGCTCGAGTCACAGATATTCGTACTAAATTTAACACGACCAGACGAATATGTCCTCATATTCCTTTAGAAATTCTGTGTATTCTTTCTTTTCTGATGGCGATAAGTGAACGATGGTTCGTGTTTCCTTGACATTTTCTGCATCTCCCACGTTAACAATTTCTGTCTCGTCCTAGTTGGACTTAGGTTTGTTCTCAAAGTTATCAACTTCTTTAACAATCTCGTCAGGTATGTCATCTTCCTCTGAATCAATGTCCGTTTGTTGCGTTATCTCGTTGCATGTCACAATCATTGGTTCATCAAGATAAGTAATAGAATGTTGTATAAGTAAAGTAATGAGAGAAAAATGATAATGAGTGTTGATTCATAAGAAAAGTCAGAATGCTTTGATAAATTGCATAACTGTTTTGAACACTGAAGATCTTATTGCGGGAATTGAAAAATACGAAAAGAAAATCATTTAGCAAAATAAAAATAGTGCATGCTGCTTGTTTTAGCCTTGCTACCCTGAGGCTCGCCGGGCTCTGGTTGTCTTGATGGTCCAGTTATTGAGGCGTGCCCCTCTGCTCACAGCATGTATGGAAGGGCCTTAGCTTGTGAAGTAAGATGATGATGCCAGAGTGCACGAACTAACCTTTGGGGAGGGGAATAATAAAACAAAAACAAAAATAAAAACAAAAAGGTAATCAAGTCAGTGAGGATTATAAAAAGTATTACAATATTTAAATACATAATGCAGGAATGTAAAGCGTGTCCTAATTTGGGAACCTCATTGTGCCCGAGGTAGGCCTAACATCAAATTGATTTGGAGAACTTAGAATGCTAAATGCCTCATTTTATTGACAAAAATAGACGAATCCCAAATCGACACTAAATAAACAAGAAATAAAAGTCACTAATGACCATTGGCCTTATTACATTTATAAAACGAAAAAGATAAACTCCTATCTACTTGGCCTCAGAAGGACCTTCCTCAGGTTGGATGCTCTCGTTGATCAGATCCTCCAGTTCGCGTAGGTTCACCAGTAAAAATGCCTTTGTCAGGTGTTCTCTTTCGTTTCCCTCAGTGTTCTAGCAGTCAGTGACTCTCTTCCTCACTTTTCCTTCCAATTCCAGCAGACTGTATTCCAGACATTGATTTGGTCATTTGATAGAAGACTCCACCACCAGTCTAGCAAGAGTGGGGCATGCTAATCATACTAAAACTGGGGACCTCGTGCCTCATTTTCTACAAAACAAAAGGGTTAGACCCTACCCCTACCAGACTCGACTATTTATCATCAACAATTAACATGAAGCATTTAGTTCTCCAAATAAATGTACAGAATGTGGTGATGTCTATTTGGGTCCAGGGAAACCCAGTGGACTTTGGACAAGGCTGTCTTAAAGGATCATTATGTGGACAACATAACTGACCCGGCTAGGTTTGACCATGATGCATGCACAATTTTAACCAGAGTAAGATTTCTATGGGGTTTTAGTCTGGTACCCTTGAGCGGACAACTCAAGGGGAAAGGCACGGAACTGTCGACTGCACCGCTGATCGACTAGCTTTATCGCAAATATGAGTTTTTGAATTTAGGGGGTAATGATATAGGAAGAGCGCAACCACTCATTATAAGCGTTGCTATGGTATTTGGTGGAGTATGATGTTGATCATGATTATGCAATAATTAAAACATGTTGGCACGTATTTGCACGTTAAGAAAGTGATAAATACAGCAGTTTCATAATTTAAAGCAATTATAAGGAAGGAAAGAAACAATAAAAATATATCAGTTTTGTTTTTGAAGAAGAAATTAAATGCTTAAAGAAATTAAACAAGTAATTGCACATGGGGGTGGGGGGGGGGTAAGAATTCACAAGAACAATCTGAAATGGTAAAAGCCTAAAAATTCCCAGCAGAGTCGCCATGCTGTCGCGCCCCTTTTTCCCTTTTTGCATTGGAAAATCGGGTTTATGACATTTTTGGGGTAGGACAACTTATTCCTTTTGGGAACTGGGTTTGCATTTGAAGAGTCGTCTCCTAATGATTTAAGGTGCATTAGGACACCTATAGGGTTCATTTCTAAGTTTGTTTGATAACCAGAGATAGGGTAAGGGCTTGAAATTATCCTAAGGGGAAAGTATTAGGTACCCCTCAGGATCCACAAGTGTGGTTCCCGGCCAGACAGTTTTATAAATTTTGTACAATTAGCAGACAGACAAATATAGGCTCAAATAGTAGGTGATTTAAGTTTGAACACATAAGAGTTTGAAAACAATTATTAAAAGGCGAATTTTGAAAAGGAGTTACAGTTCTACAAATACTTAAGAATATAAAAAGGAGGGGGGTCCTAGATTTATTTATAATATGGATCACATCAATGCGAAACCCAGTATGACACTCCTCAGAAGAAGGGTTACACGTGGTATTAGTGCACCAGTCATCATATCCATATCTACCCTTCCCATCCCGTTAAGTTATTAAAGCGCAAATTGGTCTCGACTTCTATTGCATGTTATTACCTGTCCCATTTCTATGAGTCCTAGAGGAATTTAGGACTACTATTCCTATAAGAGGGAGGATTTAGGCTGACTCTTGGGTTTTAAAGGTAAAAAGGCTAAGGCGACATACAAAACACGTAGGACTGCATATTAGTGGAAATATATAAACAATTAAGAGGCTCATATATACCTCCGCAGACAATGCACATAATAGCATGACTTAAACACAATTAGGGTCAGAATTTAAAGTACTAAGGCAGGGTGTTTTAATTGTTGAAGCAGACCAATTTATTACATAACTCAGATAAGAAGTCTGAATCAGGCCTCCATGCTGGTTGTATCAGTTGCTAATTAACAAAGGCGGATTCAGTTTTATCATTATTACCTAAGGCTTGCCTAAGTGTGTATTGGTGATGTCCTATGAGCATGATATCTATTACTAATTAGGAGTGCAGCAGAGCAACGGTTAATTTTTAAATAGGTGATTTGGATCCTATAGTCATGCTTTCTAAACTGTATTAATAAAAGGAGTAGGTTGCTTAAACTGATTCAGAACAGTACGAGTCAAACTGATTTTTAACTAAACTGGTTTCAGATCCTATAGACATGATTGCTATTATAGCTGATTTTAATTCCTACAAGCAAGGTATCTAAGTATTAAAAGCTGATTTTGGTCCTATAGGCGTGGTATCTAATTGATCATGAAATGAAACAAGCAGGATTTATTTGATCACAACGAAGTTTCTATAGGCATGATTTCTATAAAAATATTGATTTTAATCTTATAGACATGACATCTAATCTCAAAGCTGATTTTAACCTTGTAGGCATGATGTCTGATTATAGCCATTTAGATCCTATAGGCATGGTGTGTAAGTGTGGAGTAAAACATGCAGAATTTATTAAACAGATCCTATAAGCAAGTTATCTACCCTTCTAATAGCTAAAGCATGCATAATCACCCCATTCTTTTTCACTAGCCAACCCCAATATTTGTTACAAATTATTACACACCAAAAATGACTGAATTACATCAGAAAAGTACAAAATAAGAAGTTACAACCATCGGAAGCCTGATTCTTGACTTCCTCTCTGAGTTATGGAATAAGCTACCTCAAATGCCAAAGATGTTCAAAGCCTTTCTCACACCTGGATGTGTCAAAGTTCCCTAAGGGTCTCCAGCGACCCCGGGCAGTGCTTATACCTATGTTTGTATAACTAGACAGAAATGAGTGCAGCGTGGAAGGGCCAGCCCTTATGTGTCCAAGTTCAGAGGGAGCTCAAGGGTTCCAAGGCAAGGCTCACACAATAGGGGTAGAAGCTAGGTTCTAAGAATATAGTGGAAGTGCAGAATACATAGATTTACTTAAAACTGGGTTGGAAATAGTAAGTATTAAGGGTGATTTGAAAACAGTAGTAGTAAAACTCAAACTACACAGAATCAGTAGTTACACAAAGGGGTCAAAGGGGTTTTGGGAGTGCATTGTATGAAGCATGTGACCCCAGAAAGGGTCAGGTTTGGGTCATGCAC